AAATTTCATGTATGCTAACTTAGTAGCAGGGTTTACTAACTAGCTACAAGCTGTAAACTTCAACTACTGCCAGTTCTCTTGACCTAACGATTTGTAACATTTAAAGCGGATTCATCATGAAAGAAGTAGAAGTGCTCGGTTTGACAAACAACTTTTTTGCTTCCCCGGAATTTAACAGCACTAAATGTGTGACATAAAGGAATGTGTTAATGGTAACAATGACCGTTGACCTTTCATAAATTTGTAAAAAGTCAAGGTTTGTAGACGAGGACGAGCCGAAACGCGACGAAAAAACAATGCTGTAAAGTAGAGGATAGTGTAGTGCCCCGATGAAATCCGTTCCAGTCGTTGACAGTATGAAAGGATCCGTCGACAGGGTCTAAATCGCTTCAATGACCCCCTTTAATGGGGGGACATTAGCAGTGAAGCTCGATTGCGTTTATGATAATGTAGCAAAGTCGAGGTGATTAGAAAGGGAAGTGTGATCGCTACCGATGACGACGACGGCGGCGACGGCGACGTGGGCGACAGATAACGCGGCCGCTTAACGTTGAACGTGTGAATACCTGTTTGTCATCCCATCACTGCACAGCATATATTCGACTACGACTAATCGTAAATAATCCGACGATAGCTCACCTAATCGTAGCGACCGCCTCCAGTCGACTATAGCGGCGTGCGAGACAAACCGCCGCGCGCGCGATTATATCGCATCATACCGGGATCACTTTCATCGCAACATATTTTTGTGGATCGTTGTGGGAGAAAAAAAACAAAAAAAAAAGAAAACGCATAGGAAAACAAGCAACAAAAGACGTTTCCAGCTAATTTGGCTACTGCCATCAGATCAATACCGTATTTGGTACAGCCCTCACTTCTGCCTGGGATTTAGGCTCCGCCCATTCAAATATTTTTCTGTCGAATTTGCTCTGGAATTCAAGCTCCGCCCATTCAAATAATTTCATCGACTTATTAGATCTATAGCTCTCATCATCAAGTAACACACGAGGGAAAGCCGATAGATTCCCCTCTCTTTTGAACGGAGTTTAACCGATTCATTGGGCCGTTCCCATTACATTTATACCATTTCGGGAACAGGCGCCATTTCCATCTAAAATTTAAACTCCACCCATCGTTTTTTTTTGTGGAATCATTATATTTTTAGCTCTTATAAAACCGGGAAGAGAAAACAACTGGTTTTCTCACCCTAAGAATCATATAGCTATTTGGACAATTGCTATTACACCTACACCACATGTATTTGGAGCAATCACGGCTTTTCATTTCGGATTGGGACCTTCTCATTCAAATAATACTTCTTAATATAGACATATAGTTAATGTATTAGTTTTAAATAATTTGGGTGAACTTTCCGATTTAAGAG